AAAAAAATGTTGATTTGTTCCATAGCTTTGCATACGTAAGCCAGATATTCAATCAGTTTCGATGATCTGTCAGTCTGTACATAAATACTTTACATATGTATACCCTCTCGATCGTTACTTGGAATAAGTATCTTTCGCTCTCAAACAGATAATGACGACCTGTTGAGACAGAAATACCAAGTGGAACTGAACTCACATTTGTTATTCGTTAGGCAAATAAATGCAAACTTTGTCACCACAGAAATCAACTTGTACCAAACATTACTTTCCCTTACTGTCGCCCGAAGGTATCGAACATTATGCTTTGTTTTCGATTACCGAATGCAGCATGGTGTTTCAGTTTACTTATGAGTCCTGTATAGTTGAGACCGAATATATAAATGAAACATTCAAAGAACTTGAGTAGTCGATGTCATAAACACTCAAAAAGGCATTTCTTTGATTCATCGTATATTCGAACATTCTTATGCCCATTTTCTCATTACCCGACTAGTCGAATATTGAAACCCCAATAATCAAACATTCAAGTTTAAATTCCAAAATGACGATATACTATTCATTGGTACGGAAATTTTTTCTCACAAATGATATTCGGTATTTGTTTTTTCGTAAACGTTTCCACCCTTTCAACTACACATTCCAGCAGGTATGATAGTTCTGAGGAGTATAACCTTCCTCACGCAGTAAGACTGACTCATCGTCCTTTCCCAAAACCACCGGCTCTAGGATTAAGCAACTCGCCAAAGCAGTAAAAATGTAATCTAATTTCCTAAATAGTCACTAACTTGAGAAAAAGGACTGAAGATCATCCAAAACCAAGTAGACGAGCGCAGATCAGCGACATAGACTCTTCCTCTAAACCTGTCCCGCCGGTGCTCTTTTGTCTGTCAGATTCTCTAATGAAATAAAAAGGGGGAAAATGCAGAGGAAAGAAAAGATTTAAGGTTAAATGGCAAAGTAGCTTGGCGTCAGAGGCATTCGCTGCAATCGGCGCATGTTTGTGGTGCTACCGACAAAACAGCAACTGCGAATCAGGCTCAAAAGACACCCTAGCTATATGCTCAGTTTCTCAATTTCGTAGAAAATACAACCACATTTTATTAAAGCAGTTCTTGCCCACCGTCCAGTAGTAGTAGTCATGTAGAAAGTAAGACTTCTGGCTCAGTCATTTACACTATCTTTTGTAGTAACACTTGAAGGCGGATTTTATTAGGCGAGATACACATCTGACAGCCATTCGGTTTACACCATTCTCTCAAATTGTTTTTAACGAGTCACAAGTTTAATACCACTTCATGTAGTTTTTCATGATTCACACAGGTGTTCCAATGTTGGTCAATATTTTAAGGTGGCCACGTTGGTCGTAGTGCAGGGTTCACCTTTACGAATTAATTCTCAAAGCCTGATATATGCTTCTCATTACAATGGCTGATAGCGAGCTTCGGCTGGGAGAACGGGCAGAAACGCAGAAAGCCCATTGAGCTTAGTTACTCAAAGATTCAAATATTTAAAAGACTTTGCATTCGGAACGATATGAGAGGTGCGCAGGTGCCAGAAAAAAGCAAAGCGCATATCCTCATGCGTAGCTTGTAAAATTAATCTCATTGCACATTGTTAGCCAGGTCATGTACAAAGCAAACCGATCATGGTTCAAATTTCTACACATTGCTACGGGAGATAAGTCCGAATGTATAGCGCAAATATGTTTCCTGCACATAGATTACCAATAGGAGTATCGAAAAGATATGCTAAAAATAGTATTCTATTCAATATTCTTTTTGCATTAGATCTCAACGTAATGGGCTACGCTTTCTGTGGCCATCTCTCAGAACACGAGTACCAACGCATCCCCTCCCCCTTCTCTCTTCGTAAGAAACACTTAACAGCGTATGAAAAACTCTGGACAGTTCTGGAACATTTTGTCAAGTATGAAGAGACTGCCGCAACTTTAGTGATGGTGCAATTACTAACACAGAGATATTCAAGTTTGAAAAGATTCGATGAGCAGAATTCAGATTGTGCACAATGACGTTATGACAAGTGATTGGCTAAGCTTTTGTGCCCATGAAGCACAAAATTCGCGCACCGATGTCTTTCGACTTAGATGATTAATTACTACTTTGAGAATGCGATGTTCAGAAAGATTAGAAAATTCAATCAAAATAGTCTAAATTCCTGCAATAACTAATAACACGTCTACATCATCTGTACACTAAAAATCTAAACAAAATGAAGCGAGAAAAGTTGACAAAGGATGACGCTATTCGAAAACATCTTCCCGCTCACAAATATATTTAAAGACGTCGCGAGGTGTTTTCAATTTTTCTGAGTCTTCTAGTGGGATTTCGAAACCAAATTCATCCTCCACTGCCATCATTATTTCCACCTGCAAATTTACGATAGCCAGTATGCATGTGATAGTGAGAAAAATAGAATACCTACTTGATCTAAAGAGTCAAACCCAAGATCTTTCGAAAAATCAGCTTCAAGTTTCAGCATCGTCTCTTTATCAGCTGGAAATCGATCCCATGCACGAATAGCTTTCAGTACCCGTTCTTCCACCTGCAACATTCGCACTCTAATGCGAGTTTGATGCCATGAATACGGAATTAGTTACGCAATCTGCTTTCGATAAATGTTCAACTATTTATGCGTATCGATACTATACAGCTGAAGCGCCTATTCTACTACTTAAAGCTCCTAAATCCAGACTTTCCCGCGCGAAGAGAGAGAGGTGGCTACGCAGCGTGTAGTTCCACCAGTTTTAGGAAGGATTCAAATCACACCAAGTCGATTCTTTATGGGAAAAAGATATAAAGCTAATTCTATGTGTGATTGGTATATAATCAATATGCAATATTAAGAGTATCTCCATACTTCATGAGGAATGCCCGATTCGAAGACTCGAATCAGGTCCGGTCCTCATAAAACTTATAAGCGTCACTTTATAAATATGGCGCATGCCATATTCTTTTGTGTCCACATCAAATAATGCGGTTGATTTCCAGGAAAAAGAATATGTGATTCCAGTTTAAACCGTTTCCCATCGCTATGCTACAGCAAGACTTCCATCTGAAGTGGGAATGACCTCGGTAGTATCGTGCAACAAACTTCAAACCTTTTGAAATTTTGAAGCAAACTTTATATGTAGCACTCGCGATTCGTCTTCTCGATAAAAAACCATCTTGAAACTAGCCACATATTTATCCAAGTGTGTTCAACCATACGTGCGATAAGGTGAACACTGGCCCTCCTGGGTGAAGGGGGTCAAAAAACTTTTATCTCTCTAGGTGAATGAGGTCGTTGG